GGTAAGAACTATTATGCACCAGGCTGCGTGCTGGGAGCTGGGTTACAGTTATGAACAAAGGATAAGTGGTTCTTATCCTCAGGAAGTTCATCGTGCATCAACGGTGCCAGTAACAGCTCCTAGGGTCATGGGAAAGTCATTTGACCTCTTTGAGCTTCCACAACTACAAATGTTCATTCACTACAGTGTCTACAAGAGGACGGTATAAGAAAGAGGATTCAAAGAAGATACGTGTGTGAACTTGTGCCGCAAAGGGCTGTTTAAATCCAAGTGTTTGCTTAATATTGACGTTTTCTACCACATGGATACCACAAAACACTTCTTTTGCACAGCGCGCTAGCTAGGGCATGTGGCAGTTTCTGCTTCTCTCCTTACTGCCCTCAGTGGCCCAGATGCTGTTAAAGCATTTGGTCCCCAGGACACCTCAAGAACGACTAAGGATCCTTGGACCAGCTGAAGTCACTGCATGTTCCATGAGTTCCACGGTGAAACCTCAAGCTACACCAAGTTACAGGTGTTTTTACCTGTTCATTTAACATATTTATTGAGTACCCTGCCTGGTGGCACTCCCTAGCTAGGAAGCCAGGAAAAAAAAACATTCAGTTGACTTAATTGACTGATTTTAAATTGGATTAGACCTTGAGGGATACAGAATCCTGAGACAGAGCCACAAGAGAAAAGACGTATACTGGGTAAGCTGGATGGAAAAGGTCTCTGTGAAAAAGTGGGACTGAAGTACAAGGCATCACCCAGGCAGAGGTGAGCAGGGCAGTCTAGACAGAAGAATCTGTACATGCAGACACTCCAAGCTTGTGCTCAGGGATGGAAGACCTCTGATGAGCTTAACAGGAAGAGGCTACCAAGTGGGAAAGGCTGGTGGAAGCTCCTTGTCTCCTCTCACAAACCACTCACTCTAGACCTTCTCAGAGCCTTTATCATGCTACTGTTATTGTGAGGCTCTAAGAATCCAGAGTGCAGATCCTCCAGACCCTCAAGCCGGACCTCTGGGAGACAGGTGCACCCAGGGTACCCTGGACAAGGTTCTTCTAAAGTGTTGACTGTTCTATTAGTTCTGACTGTTTCAAGACACAGATGATTTGAAATGTGCATCACTACTCGTCCTCTCACAAGGCTGCTGACACCGCGGCTAATTATTCAGAGCATCGGATACGGCTCCCTGAATCCTGGCAGGACTTACTTGCAAGGGAGGAGATTTCCACAGATGGGCTGGTGCATGAGCCCAGGCAAGTTGGCTACACGCTTCAACCGCAAAGAGACTGTGTGAAAACATGATTTTTAAATGATTAAATTCAACAAGGATAGTCACCTGTATTCTTAAATCCGAGGTCAAAGACGGGGCAAAGGGGGAAAGAACAAGACCCTGCTTGTATTCATTGTCAATAAATGTACCGTGAGATACAGACGTGAAATAAGCATTAGCCTTCAGCAGCAGAAAAAATATCTTACGTTCCTTCATAGTTCACTTTTTAGGATCAAGTTGCCTATTTCTTCCTTTTTCTGTTTTGTGGGAAAATGCCTAAAATTTACTTCATTTTTCCGGTACTTTCTGAATGAACACTTTAATTGGTATTACATGGGACAATACTGGGTTCTTTACCTTTAAAGACACTGTCTGGATTCTTAAGTCACTGAAGTCCACGATATGCTCTACATTTTATACCCAGCTGCTAGCTTACGAATCACATAGATAATCATACAAGTGAAAAGGAATTTTTTATGGGAACAGTACAGGATTCTTGACAATTATTGCTAGTCTTTTAAATAAATCTGTGGCACTACTATCATCTCTCTCTTAATAACCTCTTCCCACATACTCGCAAATGATAGTTTGGAATGGTCAGTTCCTCTTTTCTGCCCATTCAAAAATTCTAACTCAGATCAGACACTGCTATTCTTCCACAGTAAAAAAAAACTATTTCTGAAACCAGAATGAGCTGTGTTTATACATAAGGGATGTAGGTTTGGGCCCCGAGAGAGTTAAATTAATATCCTGGCTTCACCAGTTCAACTTACTGTACATCTTCATTTGCCCAGGAACACAATCTATAGCCAACTGCTAACCAAGTCAATATGTGGTAAGACTAACAGCCACCCTAACTTGCCTTGATAATTATTCTCCTTTAACTGACATAATATTCAATATACTGTTGTTGAGAGCAATAATGCTAAAATTGATGCCTTGAGGGCTACAAGACAATTGAGTTTCAGCCAGATAAAACGACTTGTACACTAATAGTGCATTATAGGGTTCCACAACCTTTGGACGCACATTTCATAGTCTACCTGTACAAAAATGTTACATATAATTATATTCAAAGCCATTTGTGCATACCTTATCATTACTATATATAATTTAAAAAATACTGGCCAATAATCAAGTGACATTGCTTAGGAGAAAAAAAGGTTTATTTCATTGTCTAGCTCTTAGTTTGGTTTTTATTTTTTTAAACAAAACAAGCATTTTCTCACTAGTGTTAACAGTATTGTGTCCTTCAACCTCTTGCTTTTTTTCCTAAACCAAGAATTTTTGCAGGAAACAAGCAGATGATAAATGCTGAATGACAAAAGGCATCATTTAAATAAAATCTATATTTCACCAATCCTATCAATAAAACAAGGCAGAAACTAAACTTAGTGTTCCTAGAATGTAAACATCACCCATGATTTTCTCAAAATGTCAATTTTAGACGCTGAGTGGAAAAAGCAGATTATGTTAAATTTGAGACTTTGTCAAAACCTCTATCAATGAAAAGTAGTTATAATTTAAGTATCAGAATAAATGACAGTGCTCTTTATATGCAGCAATTCTCCCCAAAAGAGGGGACCATAAATATTAGTTTGCAGTTTTGTTGAATTTTCTCCTCAAATTTAATCTCTTGTAATTTTTTGTCTTTAAATCCCGAGCCCTCAATCAAAATGAAATACGGAGTACATTTTCTACACTTGCCTTAGAGTTATGTTGAAATGCTGAGAAGAAAACACCTAAGTAATAATTTCAAGTAAAGCAGAGAACAGGCACTGTTCAAGACAAAACATTAGGGCACCACACAGCAACCAGTAGGTTCTGTATGGACTGCCCTCAAAATGCTACCAGACTGGGTTATTGCGATGGTGAGTGATCAGTTACGTACACATCTATGTCTCTTTCAACAGAAAGGGACCATGCACTCGCTCCAGATACCTCAGGCAAAAATGCACACGTAGGACTGAAATGCAGCACTGACCACAGAACTCAGCCTCACACTGAGGCAGTAAAGGCACAAGGCCGGGGCATATGACTCTAAGCTTCGAATGAAGGGAAGAGTGCTTAGCCAAGCTGACAGTTCCATTCAGAAATCTGCAAGAGGTTTGTTCCTTCCTGCAGGGTGAAATCCACCCCAAACGGACATTAATCATCATGTGTGGGAACAACTGCAGAAAGACATGGCACTGCGTGCATCTCCAGGCCGGCATAAGCGGGGATTGTGAAACGGGTTCCATGCTTTGTTCTTCCCGGCCCCCTCCTCCTGGACCCTGTGCCCCTACAGGTCCCCTGACCACCCAGGACTTAACTTTCTGCTCACCCCAGTGAAATGTCCCCGTCCTGAGGCAAGTGAGATAATGCTTATGAAAGTCTTCTATAAACTGAAAACGTAACATATAATTATCTCTGTTATCAGCAACATCTCATCTTCTGAGGGCCCAATTTCCTGTGCCTTCCAAGTTGACATCTCACTAAGCAATGATTCCACACTAACGAAGGCAGTCATGGGAGCAGACAGGTGATCTTACCTTCTCCCTCTCCCTCCACTCCACATCCCTCGCCCGCTCACCCACCCTGCTAACCTTACCTGGAGGTGCTACACAGGAGAATGACAGGAATGTGTGGTGTGTTTATGCCAGGTTAAAGCCAGGGTGAGACTGGACCCCCTCCCCCAACTCATCACATACCAAGTTGGCAGCCTCACACACAACACAGGGCGGTTCAGGGAAGCAACAACACTGGCAGAGCCAAAACCAATCTTTTTTGAAAGGATCAATTCTCCTGGTATTATTCCCCACAAGGAATTTCAGAACATCACTGCAGATTCTACCTTCTCCAACTGTGATCTCCTTTGGCAGGAGGGAGTATTTCTTCATCGTCCAGTGTAGTCTTTTTGGATCCTGGGGCCTCCCAACATGCTGTTTTCAACATTTACCCTTCAAGGGTCACGGGAAGACAGATGGCCATAAAAACATTTCAGAGGCAAAGTACACAATGCAAAACGACTCACAACATACGGCGAAAAAATGTCAGAAAAGACGAGGTTGAGAGCATGGGGAATGGAGGCTGCCGGCCTCTGAAAACATCTCAAGACCCTTACCAGACCGGAAGTGCCCCAGACACATGGAAGGGGCTCAAGCTGGATGGACAGGTGCTGTGAAGGCCAAATCTACAACCAGGTCTGCATGTTTTGGAACCTGGGGGTTTACTGGTTATAAAAGCAGGGACTTTGCAGGGGTGACAGTTCATTCTTTGACTTGGATGAAGAAGCAATAAATGGTTAGGGTACACAGACAAGAAGACACCAAGCCTACAAAGTAGGCGCGAGAACGAGCCCTCCTAAACCCAGATGCAGTGTCGTCTCAGATTTTCACACACCCCTCACCTACCCTCAAGCCCTCCCTTTTAGTAGGGCTGCGATAAAGCTTGTTGGAGAAGCCAGGAGGCCCACATTGTAGGGAGAGAGAGTTGAATTCAAAAGAATGCAAACAAAATAACCCTAGGCAACCGGCAACTTATTCCTTTCTTGACCACTGAGGCCGGGTGCTGGCCCGCTGGCACACGGTACCTTCCTTCCAATTCCCTGACACGCCTGCCGGAAGGACCGTTTTAATCAGAAGAGGGTGTGAGTGCCTGGGCCTCCGAGAGATGGGAAGGAGGTCAGGTTTGCCAAAGGCTCCCACCCCTGCCCTCCTCCAGCTGGCCCCAGACACCGGCGTCAACGTCCTTCCCCTACCTGAAGGATGTACCCCCGGACGTAGTCCCGCAGCGTCCAGCCCAGGCCGTGCAGGATGTGCAGCACCTCCTCCTGCTTCAGGACACTGAAGAGCCGGTCCAGCAGGATCTTCAGCCGCACGGGCACCGCCTGGGTCCCGTAGAGCATCAGGCTGCTGATGTCGAACACCACGTTGGACTGCACGATCTCCACTTGCGTGGGGTGGTACAGATGCTGCGTGCTGAGCTTATCCAAGGCTGTGGAGGCCACACCAGAAGTCCGGAGGCGGGTGGGAATGAAGAGAGAAAAGGAGAGAACAGAGACAAGGGAAGGAGACACACGTTACTGGGAGTTCTCCAGGCTCCATTTCTACAGCTGGGTCTTAACCACAGATGTTTAAGCGAAATGGTGCAATGTAAATAGTTCTCTTCCCATCTCCTCCCTGTTGTACACTGTTTTGTTTTTTTTTAAGATTCAGTGTTTATAAATTGCAGATGACAGCAAATACAAAACACATTCAGCTTTCAGGATGAGAGCCACTGAGGAGGTTTCTAAATGACTGTGGCTGGTGCTAAAACCCTGACTAATTAATTTGCTAATTGAACTATGGCTCAACCCAAGTTAACCATGGTGTCCCCCTCCCTGCACCAAAAGGACAAGCAAATAAACAAGCGTGGGCTCAACCAACATCACTTTTCTGAGTAAGATTCGCCCCTTAGGATACCTGAAGGGTTTACAGAGGAAGGGGAGAGTGTCCCTTGGACCCCAGGGGTAAAAGCCCTAATTTAGAGGGAATAGGAAAGCAGACATCTGGGTGGAGGACTAGTCATTTACCTCAAGCTCAATTAGGTAAGGGGAATTACCCTAAGACTTAGCTCATCTAATTTCCCCTCCGGCTGTTCACCTATTAGTTTCATGGTCGCCGCATGTTCTCTAAAAGTTACTCAGGAGAAACCAACAAGAAAAGAAGTTCAAGTCATAATGAGTTACTTCACTAGCAGCTCTGATAAGGGTTTAGTATGTGGTGGAAGTGGGGGAAAAGGACTAAAATCAAACTATGAGAATTTCTATGTATTTTAGCCATGACATCTCAGCACAGAAATCCGAGGATGACCATTCTCAGAATAAGTATTTTTAGTGAAACTAATATTTCAACAATTAGGCCTTTTTCTCTTCAAATCTAAGAAATCACATCTCTCCCCTATTAGATAGGAAAGCCAAGATAAGGTCATACATTCTAGTCCTCATCCTTATCTGAGTTCCTGGGAAACCTACTGCACATAACGTGATTACATTTTTCCTCAGTTTCTCTAACGTGAACAATTCAGGTAACAGAGTCTCATCTACAAGGCTCAAAGACATGCTGCCAAGATTAATGAGATAATGAATGAGAGGTGCTTTGGACTCCTTAAGAGAACACAAACTGTCAGAATTATACACGTATGACCTTCTGGAGATAAACGGATAAATACGTGAGCCTGAAAGATGGTCGTCTCATCTCGTGAGTCGGGGAAATGGGTTATCAGACAGCAGTCACCAGGCTCAAATCACAGCTCTACCCGAGAGTCCCCAAGGTTTCTGCAAATTCTAAGCCACTGCCTCGACTTTCTCAACCACTCTTCCCAACACCTTCTCCCCTAACAGTATAGGCTACTGTAGGTGTGCACTCCGAGCAGCTCTGATTTTAACATGCCAGTATTTCTGCATATTAATGCAGGCATTTAAAAGGGCACACACAATTTTTAGTATTTCAAATGTATTTTTTCAGGGCTCCTCCTCCACTCTCGTTTCCTCCTGACTTGTGGTCACTGGAGAGTTCATGTACTCTTGATAAATTGCTTTCTTACATCCACAGTGTAAAGGCCCTTATCATTTTACCCGCTGGCTTCATTCAACACATTTCCTCCCAGGAATACTTTGTCAAAGAGTTCGGGTTTCCTCATACTTCATTTCTTGCAGCTGATTTGTCTGATCTTTCCTATTCTAGTGGTTAAGTCAACTTTGAATAAATAGCTTTAAAAATTAATTTAACGTTTGGGAAAGATAAGGGATTCACAAGCCTAGGGACTGAAGTCTTCTCTCACTCCACAGGGCATTTCAACTGCAAAAATGCAGGAAAGGGATTACTATCCCTGTTCTCCTTCAAGTACAGCTTAACTACCCAGCCCTCTGAGGTGCGGCTGCTCTCCTTACAGAATCCGGGGTCCAGGTCCAGGGGAATCAGTTCCTCCTCCATCTCTCTTTATCAACCCTCCTGGCCCACATCAAACACTCCTTCACACAATACACTGCTACAGCCACAAGAGGCAGAATCGGGAGGGATGGGGAGACGGAAAGTAAAATGACACCATATTCTTTTATCCATGTGTTTGGCACCTCACATCAAGTACACGCAGGTGTGTGTACCAAAGTCTTCAAGAGCCAGGTGGAAAGCTGTCACCCACTCCTTCCTATTCCTTCCAAATGGCTGGCAGTTTCAAAAGACGAGGAGGACTAAACTGTTGAGGGTACAGAGACACAGAGAAGTTGTTCAGAGAATTGGAAGAGCACAGGTGGAATGGGGGAGGCAAAAATATTTCCCTAGATATACACGTGAAAACCTCAGTGAGTCAGCGTATTAAAAGACATCACTGATTTTTTTTTTCATAAACATGTCACACATGTCAAGAAGTAGGAATACTGTTGTAAGCCACATAAACGTACAGTGGAGGTCAACAACTTTTCCTGTAAAGGATCAGACTGTGAATATTTTAGGTTTATGGGCTGTACCTTCTGTTTCACAACTACTCACCTCTCCTATTATAGAGGGAAAACAGATTAAACTACTGGGCATGTCTGTGTTGCAATAAAACTTTACTTACACAAATAGGTGCCTGGCCACGTTGGGCTCTGATACGGAAGACAAAAGGGCAGGCCAAATAGGTAAAGAAAGTCAATAGTAGATAAGGAAAAAGTCCCAAGAGTGTGCTTTAAGAAGCAGTTACTGAGGAGATGAGCCATAGAGGAAAGCTTGAAAAATTAACCTGCCCAGCCTGCAGATGTCAACTGCAAGTTTCAGCATAAACATATCATCAAGGATTATGCTCCATCAAATTTCTTCACTGAATCAAAATTTCCTGTTTTATGACTGCTGGAAAAAAGTGAGTCACCAAGTTGTCAACAGCTATTGGGGATCTCTTCTTGGTGGGCAAAGGGTTAAGTAACGATTCTTTGAGTGTTATAAAAACAGTAAACTGAAAACTGGACTTCAGCCTAATGCCATGATCTTCCTGACTGACTGTGGGGAATCAAGTCTGGATCTCAGCTGGGTTAGGAACACGAGCTGGGCTAACAGGAATGAAAGAAAGGTTGGGCAAAAACTTGTTCAGCAGGACAGAGTAGGAAACGATGGCCACCCACTTTCATGAGCTATGGGCCCAACCAGCTGCAAAAATGGCCCTGTATCAATGGTACTGCTGAAATTCCATCTTCAAATGAAATCTTAACCAGAAATTTGATATACAAATACATGAAAGTGAAGCTACTCTTGGTGACTCTAAAGTGAGCATGAATTTGAGAACCTCGCACCATGCCTTACTCTCTTCTTCCCTTCCCCTGTTTACGCACTTCAGTGGGATCCCTAGAGCTCACAGAAACACAGTCTGAAAAAGCACTGTTCCATACAATTAGACAATATCAACTGCCTTGCCTGCTGTGCATCCCCTTCATTCTGGTAACAGAGACTGGATTTCCTTTTGGGGAAGCACTCTTCCCTACACGCAGTACTCTTTATTTCACAGAACAGAATATTCCTGAAGCTGGGCCTGGAAAACCAGTACATCCCAGTTCCTTGGCCACAACAAGTGGTTTAAGAATGGGCAAGTGGCCTAAGTCTGAACAGTGAGAGTGAATATAGGCTTTTAGTTACAACTACTGAGAAGTTCTTCCCTCTCCTGGAAATCTGTCACTGGCAAATATGCTTGGGAATGAGAATCGCATAGAAGAGAGCTGGGCCGCGAGATAGCCTGGGAAGACTGAGGTCTGACAATACCATTCGATCCAGAAGACACGGACATGGCAGTGCTTGAGGGTGGTCCTATCCCCAGAACTTTCAGTTACACAAGCCAACAAAGTTTCTCTCTCTCTCTTTTTATGTCTGCTTGAAGTAGGATTCTGTCATTTCTATCTAAAAGAGCCTTGACTAAGACCACCACCTTTTGGGGTACTCCTCCAGCTGGATAACATGCAATTTCAAAGTAGCTGTCAGTGCTTCAACAGAAGGTATGTTAGTTCCAAGCTAAATGCGATTCACAATTTCTCCAATGACTGGAACAAGGATACTCTTAACAATTTATCTCATACAAATTTGCAAAGGTGATGGACACCATCAACAATATTAATAAATAAAAACAATTGTCGTATAGGAGGCAGTAAAGGAAATAACCATTTAAGTACTAACTAAATGTCAGATATCATTCTAAGGAATTACAATGATGTTTAATCCTTTAAAAAATTCAAAGGACAAGGTACAACTATTACTGCCTATTCAGAGATGACAGGCTCCATGAGGTTCAGTACCTGGCCAACGTCACTTAATTATTTCTCCCAAGAAATTCTGTTTCCACCACATGTTCAGGTAAACAGTCAATAAGCAACTCTGGAAACGTGCAAGTCTTCATCAATGTTGGAAGCCCCTAACTCCTAGCAATCTGGGCTTCCTGCCCATCACTCTGCTGAAGCAAGCATTTCAAAGGTCACCATCTCCTGCCTTACTACGAAATCCAATTGCTTTTCCCCTTCATTATTCTCCACGATCACGCCAGAGCAGCTGACCTTATTGATCACACTCCTCCTCAGATGCTCTTCTCCTTCATTCACGCATACATTCATTTATTCACCGGCACTTAACAGCTTATCAGGCAGGCGCTGCATGCAGATGCACAAGTAATTTACGCTGAAAAAGAGACCTGATAAAGAACTGCAGGACACAGAAGAGGGGGCAGCTCTGCCGGGAAGGCCTCCTCTTCTAAGAGACCTAGAATTCGGCAAGCGAGAAGGAGGAGGGCAATCTAGGCAGTTGGAACTAGGGCAGGGGTTCTCCAACACTGTGTCCATCAAAATCAGCTGAAGGGCTTGTTAAAACTCAGATCAGACCGCTGGGCCACCGGCCCTCGAAGTTTCTGATTCACTGGGTAGGGGTGGGGACCGAGGACCGGCATTTCTGACAAGTCTTCACAAGAGGCTGGTGCTGCTGGCCAGCGACCATACTTTGAGAACC